CAGTGTCACAAGGAACTTCTCCCTACAAGTCCGGACATGAGCAACCTCCTATTAAGAGACATCTACACACAGTAGCACTGAGTGGCCTCAGTCAGAAGGAAGCTGTTGTCTCCAAGAAAAAGTAGGCTGGGTCCACAACCATGAACCAATTCCCCTTTCACACCAGTTGGAGGGCATGGGCTAGTTCAGAACTGCTCATTATACCTTCAGGGTAACGATACGTACTGCTACAGCTGTCCCACACTGGCCTTTTCAAACAGCAGTGCTATCAGCCCTCCCTGTGATCCTTCTCTTAGAGGATCATATTGTAGTAATGAGCTTGTGAAGCCTGAACAAAGGCTGGTGTTGAAGCAGCAGCCATGCCAGTAATCAGCTGAACTGCAATACCTTTACAAGCTGTCACTTAAACTGCTGTATGAAAACCCCATGAGTGCTCCAGTCTGATCAATAGCTACCAGGTAAGAAATAAGCTATGTATCTTTGGGACTACATGTTTTGCTTTAGGCTTCTGATTGATTTGTGATGATTTCCTGTGCCTTAAAACCATCAACAAAAGTGCAAATTAAAGATGAATGCTTTGCTCAAACATTTGCCATCATGTAAGAGCAGAAGATGTTCCTTGTTTTTACGGTCAAATACATCTCAGCTTTGAGAGTACACAGAGGCTTGAAACCCTTAGCTCTTCAAAGCTCATTCCCTGCCCATTTCCTACAACCTCAGAGTAACAAACAGTAAACTGATATTCCTCATTGTAAAGATGTATCTTACTGTAGTTTCTACAATCACTGTCACTTGATTCAGATTTTCAGCCTGAAGAGATGCTGTGGATGGCACTAGGGTCTGCAAACTGGAGGCATGTGGTAAGTTACCTTCTGCAATGAGTATCAAATAGACCCCATTAATTCCTGCAACTGATCACCTACACTTATAGTATACAAGCAATCTGGCATTACTGCAGTTATTTTTCAAGAAATCTTGTTATGCTCTGAAATACTACCAAGAGGAATTAGATGATGAGCTTTTCAGGCAGATATCAGCTTTTATCTTCCATAAGCAAAATTTGCAACTGAACTCCTGCCAAAACTAAAATTTTACACTTAACAGAAGGGATAGTGTATGTTGCTGCCTGAATTAATCTCTGTTATTTAAGATTCAGCAAAGCATAATTACACATGAGCAATATAACATATTTAAGCACGTCTATGTGTTTGGCTGAATCAAGAGGTTCCACTGGTGTTAGGGCTGAGATTTGAATCTACATTTAAAAACCATCCTAAAAAGCTTCATTTGCTTTCTGTAAGAGATTGTGGATAAAGATCTGCATTGAACTACTCGATCCTAGGAAACCAGACTGCTTTGGCTTTTACACTACCTGAAGAGAATTGTCAGGCCTCTGAAGAAGCTATCTGAGGAGCATGGCTTTTTGCAGAAAGCAACAGGGGTTTACACAGAGATGTAATAAAAAAATTAACTGACAGAGCAAAGTTCTAAAATGGTGTTATGGGAGCAAGGCTCAACTATCCAAAGCCCACGGAACACATACAGAGCCAGAAATGCAGCACATAAAATATGCCTGCTAGGTCATTTACTTTTCCTTTCTATTCTGATCTCAGCTCACTGGCAAGATTTCCTTTTTTTTTAAGGACATCCTGTACAACTCTGAATTAACGTATTACTGAGTTTTATCCCCAAAATTCTCAGAACTTAGGAAGACAATTAAGAGATTTAGCATCTGAGCATTTACAAAAACTTCTAAAGGGAACATAAGTTTCCTGATTATTTACTGTATCTCTGGAGCATTTCCTCATCTTTCTTCATTTGTGTTTCAAGAGCTAACCATCACCACTGCAGATGAATCCATCCTTTGCATCCTCATACTCCTATGCTAGCAAGGCTGGAGTCTTCACAGAAATGCCTGCATCTCTAAGTGTATTTTAGGTTAACTCTTTAACTACAAGCAACACAAACTCTCCAGCAATGGTGGGAGTTGAAAAGGACAGCACTGGGGCAAGCGCTACATGCTCCCCAGAAGGTGCAGGATGGCCCATTCTGCCACATACTGCCCTTTTCAACCAGGGAACTCTGATAGGTGGCACCTGGTACTGAAACCAAAGCTAGAGAAGTGACCAAGAAGGGACTCTGACTCGGGCAAAATTTCCTATTGAGGGTCCCTTCCCACTTCTCTACATCACTGCATTTGTCTTTGTTGAGTTGAAAATTCTCACTTCTGCATGCTGAAATGAGGTCCTTGGAACTCCCATCACTAATTATCACATTTCAGCCTGAGTGGTCTCCAAACCACAAGTTTTCCCAAGGATCTGAAATATTTTTTTAATTTTGCTGGTTAAATATTTGGCCCTTACCTAAATCAAACGTCTTCAGGTACAGAATTTTTCCTCTTCAGCTACTGCCTTTTACTTTCTAGATCTGTTATATTGAAAGTAAGACCGATAACTGATGAAGGACAGTTTGGATCCCTTTTGTTATTTGGGAAATAAAGAAAGGCAAGCCTGCACTCTCAGATTTCTAAGTTGTATTGGGTTTAGCATGGCAAGGTGTTGATAACAGCGGCTTTGGTGGGGACCTGGTGTCCAGCTGGGGTCAACCCACCATGTAGATAAGAACTACTGTATAGGCAGAGAGTACTAACATCCTTCTCTACTCTCCTGCCAAAGGCTCAAAGGCACATTAGTGCGTGTGCTGTGACCTCTTGCCTAACAAAGGTCATTAATGATCACCCAGTTACCTATATATTGAATCTAAAAGCTTAGCTCAACTTAAAACACTTTCCAGAGGGATATTTGGTCTTAATTTGAAAACAACAGAGAATCTACCACTTCTTTTGCTTTTTCATTCCAGCAGTTAATCCTCCTCAAAAACTGTCTTTGATTTCCTATTTGACTTGTGTAATTTCAGCCTCCAGAAAAGATCTCTCATGTTTGCGACTAATACACGCGACCACTTTCTAATGCTGTTTAATGGTAAAAGTATCGACAAGCTCCAGCCACATGTCCCTCCCATAATTTGCCCATACACAGGGCTCTCACAATTAGCTTGCCTCCTCCCTTTTAATACTCTATGTAACTCTGCCACATTAGCAGCGCACCCCTCATTTCAGTGCCTAACATAAGAAAGTACCCACACGTTCCCCCTTCAATGGGATTGTACCAGAGGCTGCAGGCAGAAGGAAATCCAAGCCCTCACTTGTGAAACATCCTGGTGAATGACAGCCGGGCCCTCCAGCCCACAAGCAGTACAGCAAGAAGCTTGGAAGACCAACCTGGAACACCATTTCCTCGTGTGTGTGTGTGACTCATGGGAAGCACTGTGAATCATGAAATTCCGCTGGCATTGTGAGGTGGGCAAAACTATGCTCCCAACAGACATGTCTCAAGTCGCCCTGTTGTAGATGTACACTGGCCACACACACCTTGCTAGAACAGTCAGAAGAGCTTGTTGTCCTTTTGAATAACAAAGTTGGGTTTGTATTGTTCTCTTAAAATACATTCCTTGGCCCTTACACAATCTTCTGAGGAACAGAGTGACCTGTGTACAGATCTCTGTGGTAGCAAGCTTGTATCCTGATTACTTAAATAAAACACATCTGCCCCAGAGAAGAAGCTGAAATTCACCCATACAATTAGGTTAGGTTAATGTTGGCAATGAGTGGATAGATATTATCTGATACCATATTTTGTAATCCTCTGCTAAACAGGATGCTGTTCACTCTGGGAGCCAACAAAATAGCTTGCTCGTTCACTGTCAGACTTGAGCAAAGTCAAGAGCGATCCCTGAAGGTTTCAGATGAGTTTACTCTAGAACTTGCTAATGCTCCAGAGTAATTTATAAAGGTCACTAAATTCTATGTTCAGGTTACAGGTTTCTTTAAACTAATATTTATCTGTACAAATCTCAGGAGAAAAGACAACATTTCTCCTTTCACAAGTCAACTTTACAATAGTCTTTTCATTATCAACTTATTTGGTTCTATGACAATAATCTTTTACTCTTTTTCTAATCCTTAATTAATCCTTTTTATAAACAATGTACACTTAGCATATTCTACTCAGAGTAAATCTTTTTCTGTGTATATGCGTCGCAACAAGATCTTCAACATCCAGGCAAACGCTTTCAGAAATTAGGTACCTAAATAAATGGGTGGACGTATCAAGAAAAATTACCTGACTCATGAAAACTGAGCTCTCATACTTCCCTTGAACTTGTGCAAATTTGTGAGCTCTCAGCAGCTACAGTCAATACACTGAGGAAGATTCCAACTTAAATTCACAATGCTTGACTGAAAGCAAACACTTCAGAAAGTGCTGCCCTGAATTTTCCAAGTCCTGTTTTCCCTGACAAAACCATGACTTCCCCAAATCACATACGGAATAGATCACTTTCAGATGCATTCAGGTTTGAAGAGAAACCTAAAAGGCTCCCAAGAACAGCAAAGAGCAACTAGCGATAAACCCGCAAGTTTTCTCCTGCAAAATGAAATAGCTTAAAGTATTTCAACATGCAGTTTCTATCTGATTTTACTGCATTCAAACGTAAGAGAACAATTTTGAGCATTAGGTATACACAGAAATGACAAATATATGCGCTTGGCTAGAGTTACCTTTGGAAATAGGAAGTGAGGGAAAATACAGTTTTGGCTGCACAAGTTTTACTGTTTTTCTATAAAAATGATAAATGCACGTTACAGTTCTGTAAACACAAGTGATCTGAAGTATGTAGTGCTTATAATGGCCAGGTTGAAGCCATTTTGTAAACGCAGGCCTTAAACTAACCAAATACTATTTTTCTGGGCTGTTGCTTAGGAAAATGCCATTGAACACTTACAGATGGCAAATAGAAAACAACTTCTGAAGCTGGAATCTTGCGTGGGAATTTTGCCTCAAGAGCAGGCAAGATGAGGTTTCACTCTGCATACTTGTTGCTAAAGGAATATATATTACAAAATAAAGCCACTTAATAAGGCTATGGTAGATCTGACTTACCACAAGAGCAGCATGTGAAGCAGTTGGTATGATATAGGTTACCCATTGCTTGGCAAGCCTGGCTCGCTCCATACACACCTTTTCCACACTTTATACAAATACCTATAAAGGAAAAAGAATGAAAGTTAGAACTCTCCACTGCTCCAGGCCATTGATTCATATCACTAGTGATACCCCCCCCGCCCCCATCAGGCCCTAAATCAATGGGATCCTCACCCTGAACAGATTCAAGTACACCAGACAGCTGCAGATGGCTTTAGTGAAACAGACACATGGAAACTCACCCAAAATAAAAGGGAGGGAAGCCTCTGCTGGTGTTTCTATCCACGAAGGCTGAGGCTGGCTAAAGACAGAAATCCAAAGGAGGCAGGTGTAACGAGAGAGGACAGAAAAAAACACACACTCTCCAGAAATAACTCCATTTGCCCAAGAAATGATTTCACCTTCACAAGTAGATGCTCCATCACATTACATTCAATAATCACTAATAATACAACAATCCAGTCCAAACCCAAAAGACTTCTCTTTGCCCCTCTCCAGCAAGGCAACACCAAGAGGACTGGTCCATGTTGAAAGCCATGCAGCACCAGAAAAACGGGCCCGTCAGTCACATTTGAGAATTGTTTAACTCTCCACAGTTACATTAGATAGTAGTATCTAACCACATAAACATAACCTGGCACCTTACAAAACAGAAGAGCAAGGGTTCTATTTTCCTAAGGGAAAAAATGCTGCCTGGCAGTTTTGCTTCAGTGGGGTCAGAAATTCACCTTCGCTGCCCAAGCCTGCTCTTGATGCTGCTGGGGATGACTCTCATGAAGCTTGCATGAGACCAAAGTACGAAGAACCAGAGCAGCACTCGTAAAGTTGGTAGTTACCTCCAAACACAGCCGGCTAATAGGAAAGGTCATGATTTCAATAATCTCTCTAGAAGAGGTATTTAGGAGTGGTTATTCCATTTTAAAAAGCTTTTTCCTCATAGTTGCAGCTTTAAGAGTCTTTTGCCTATGCATTTATTTCTATCTATACATAACCTTCCTAAAACCAAACCAGGGCAGCCAGATAACTCAAAAGTCACTGCTTCTGTATCCTCATGAAGAGGAAATGGAATGCTGGAGGAGAATCATGTCCTTCTGTCACATAATCAGGACTACTGATTGTAAATTCTTCCGAGATGTCCATTGGTCTCTATTTGACCATAGCAGGACAGTACATCCCAAGACAAGGCTGTGTGATTTTTCTAAAATTTTTCTAAAATTGAGATTCTGCCTCACACAACTTTGTAAGGATCCATGTGCTTGAGGGTCTCTTTCTACAAATACACTCATGAGCTTAGCATTAATCACTAGCATCAACAAGACGGCTAATACACTTTCAGAGTCTAGGAACTTGAGAATTACAAAATTTGGCTTTAATAATCCAAAATTCTCCCCTGCTGTGCTGTGAACATTTTATACAGACACACACAGAGAAAATACAAATGCAACCTCTTTGGGGGTAAATTAGCATATTATGAAGTGGTAGAAATTTTAATAGCAGAAAAAACAGAGTTAAGCTAACAAAGCATTTGGCGCCTTCGTTCAGTTTCTATGGGTTTTGTTTTTTTTTCACTGCCAGTATACAAACTGGCATAAGCAGTACATTAGTACTCTCTGCCTGAAACAGTTCCTATGCAGTAGTTCTTATGTACAATTATATGGTGGGTTGAACCTGACCAGACACTCCCAGAGCAGCTCTGATCAGTCTCCTCCTGAACTGGACAGGGGAGAGAAAATATAGCAAAAGGTTTGTGGGTCAAGATAAGGGCAGGGAGAGATCACTCACCAATTACCACCATGGGCAAAACAGACACCAGTTTGGGAGATTAGTTTAATTTATTACCAATCAAAACAGATTAGAGTGATGAGAAATAAAACCAGACCTTAAAAACACCTTTCCTTCACCCCTCCCTTCTTCCTGAGGTTAACTTTACTCCCAAACTCTCCCCCTCCTCCCTGCCTCCAGCACTGCAGGGGGATGTGGAATGGGGGTTGCAGCCAAATCATCACATCTTGTCTCTGCTACTCCTTCTTCCTCAGGGGAGAACTCTTGATGCTCTTCCCCTGCTTCAGTGTGGGGTCTCTCCCATGGAAGACAGTCCTCCATGAACTTCTACAACATGAGCCCTTCGCACGGGCTGCAGTTCTTCATGAACGGCTCCAGCGTGGGTCCCCTCCACGGGGTGCAGTCCTTCAGGCACAGATTGCTCCAGCATGGGTCCCCCATGGGGTCACCAGTCCTGAGAGGTAACCTGCTCCAGCCTGGGTATCTCCTTCCTCACTCAACTTGGTGTCTGCAGAGCTGTTTCTCTCATATTCTCATTCCTCTCTCTGGGTGCAGGTGTGCAGGTTTTTTTTACCCTTCTTAAATGTGTTATCCCAGAGGAACTACCACCATTGCTGATGAGCTCAGCCTTGGCCAGCAGAGGGTCCATCTTGGAGACAACTGATGTTGGCTCTATCAGACCCAGGGGAAGCTTCCAGTGGCTTCTCACAGAAGCCACCCCTGTATCCCTCCCACTACCAAACCCATGCCACATAAACCTAATGCAACACCATTTCCAAAACTGAACTGTTTCAGTTTAGTGTAGCATTAACACAGCCACCTCTATGGGCTATGTAGTGTGATCAGTTTAATCAGGATAGTGTCAACTGAAAAATATATTACATTTGAAGAAAAGAATTTTCCTATACTATTAATTCAAATGTGGAAATGAAAGATTTTTCTTTAAATCACAGGTTTCTTGGTGTTTATACCTTTAGCTCCCTCATTTCAGATCACAGAGAGATTAATTAACCTTTCACTCAATTAGCTCAGCACAATGTTGTCATTTTGGACTGTAAGCATATTTGCCACATGAAACTGTAATTTTGAAAAACAACAACAATTTTAAAATCTTAAACCTGATGTCAGTGTTTCCATGAAGCAGGAACTACAATATTATCAGGCACCAATGTTCCAAGCTAAACCTGTAATACAAATTCGCTGCCAACTAAATCCATCAGTTCATTCCATATACAGTGCTAAGAAAACACTGATCCTGAGGGTAGCTCAACTCTGATCCAGCAAATGGGAATTTCAGAAAATTTCTTGTCTTATCCAAGGCTGTTATGTCTATTTATTTTTTTTGTAACCAAAGGTTATGAAAAATGTGTGCTATCTGCTGTGAGTTAATGGTTAGCTGCTGCTTAAAGATGGTTATTGATTACTGTAGATACTGTGATCAGAAAAAGTGCCCCATCAGCCAGCAGCTGCAAGAATTACTCCCAGCAGCAGCACAGCCTCCATGAACCTACCCTCTGTCTTACCATGAATTCTGCAATGGTCCCTCCTGAACCTGGGAACAGAAGGGGTTGCATGCACAACGACCATGAGAACATGGGGGTTCACATCTGAAACAAGCAATCTGTTACTTCAGTGTCAGGTCTTGATATGAGATTCAGTTAACTCTTGGCAATAGAGACAGAAGAAACCCCTTTGGAGCGCCCTACTTATCTCCACCCTTGTTGTCTGTCTTTTCATGCCAAACGTACCCAGCACTGGCAGCTATTAGTCTGTCCAACTGTGAGGTTACACCAGGAGATCTACCCTTTCCCATATACACTTAGTATTACTCAAAGAGCAGCAGAAATCAAGTCTGTAACTCCCTTGCATCTCTGTCTATAAGCTCTCATGCTCAAATCTGCCATGAACTGCTTTGATAAATGAAATTATTGCCTCATTTCTTTGCCATTGCTCCACTCAACCATCAGAAGCAAAAGAAGGATTTATTGTGAATGTTAAACTTACACTGGCCTCTCCAGCAAGTGATTTGTTAGGAGCAGCTGTCAGTTTGTTAACTCATTTTCTCTAAGAGACTAGTCATTAACTCCAGGAATGAATGACCACAGAGACGATTAGCATACTAAGAAAATGTATGTATAATTCCAAAAGTGTATTTTGGAAAACATATATGCAGCTGTGGTGTGAGTATAGTGTGAGCTCATAACTGCCTAGGAAAAGCACTGATTACATGGCTGCTCTGGTCTGATTTTCTACCAGTCACAGCCCAGACTGCAAGCTTGTGAAAGCCCTGACATAACAGCCACATCACTTTTTTTTTTTCCAGATTTAATTCCAAAGCTTGTTAAACTGCCTATGAAGAATGTTCTGTTACAGAGCAGCATGTCTCGTTTGTGACACTTCACTTGACATGATTTCAGATCAACCCTTTCAGCCTCTATACAATTCCTTGCCCCTCCCCAACACCACTATTCTAAGCAGCCAAATGTGCCTCCATTTTTTTAACACATCAACTACTGCATTTCCACCTAAAGGCATCAGCTCTCCTATAGATCTGGTTTCTCTCTTTAGCTAGAAAAAGACGTTGCATGTACCCAAAGTTTGCACAAAGATTAGCTGAGCAGGAGCACAGCGTCACAGCATTCCTTCACTGCAGCGAAAAGACTTTCGCATCCTCATGCAGTGTTTAACCAAACATGACAGTAGAGACTGAACAAACTCCGCACACCATGGCAAAAGACCACCGCAAAAACAACACTAGAAAGAGAAGAAGCTCCCAGAGATGCCCTGCTGGAGTCAGCCGCAGAACACTGCCAGTGCTCCCCACACATTTAAGCAATCCACCTCACTGAGCCTGACCATGTCAGTCAGAACATCATCTCTGGATGCAAGCCAGGCAAGCCTCCAGCACTGTACAGCAACACAGTCGTCAGAAGCATGATGCTCTGGGTAACTCATGCATCAACAAGAGCTAACATCAGCACTGGGAGAAAATACGATGGGTATCTTCTGGTGTAGTCAGTGATTTTGCTCCAGACCTAAGAGCATGCAATGCGTTCTAGCAAGTAAAACTATCAGCAACAATCCAGAGAGGATATTAAAGCTATGTGATTTTTGGTCAGCCTGCTATAACATACTTAGAAGAGTTCCCTGTAGTAGCCTACACATCAGAAGATCTATCTGAGACCTGTACATCAAATTCTGGGACGCTCTTTTGACCATGCCAGTACAGGCTGGCACTTCATACAGACTTCCAAGTACCCAGAATTAGGGAAAAAGCA